ATTAAAGTGAAACCGCAAAATGTGAAAATAAAGAAAAAAAGTCACGCAATTAATTAAAAAAAAAAAAAAAGAAAAAGAAGATAACGGTGTACTAACACCGTTAGAACCGTGTTCACCATGAATGGTGAACACGGTTCCATGGCATAACGTCTGCTTGTTTAGTAATCACACTAGCTACTCTCTACAACATTCGAGTATTGTATTTCAATGGAATAGTAGATCAATCAATACAAACGCTATCCATCATTATAAACCTAAGTCCTTGTTTTAGTAAGAAAATTGCAATCAATGAATTAATATTATAAATAATGTGCATGCTATATAAAACATATTTCAACAATAAATAAAATAAATGGTATTTCTAATTTAAACCAAATTTAGGAAATAGACAAGGAAAATATGAGAAGTGGTGCGGAGCTTTTGTGTAGAATTACTTTGGAGTTCTATTACAAGAATAATGTAATCTTGAGTACAATGAGCATGTATGTGGTTAATTAATAATAATCCCCACACTAGAAGAAGGTTTTGGGTTATATATAATGTAGTTCCAAAAGGCAAAAGAGGTGATGGCAGAGTAAATCATATGGGAACTACGACATTCTAATTAAGTAAGTGATTCAAATCTTTTAGATTTGACAATGGTCTACCATAGTTAGTCTTGATCTGGACCAACACGAGAGTTCTCGTGCTGATGGCCGAGCGAGCTGAAACAGTACGAGCCATTTGTTAGCTCGGTCTACCAGTATTATTCTGGATTGTTGTGAAATTAATTTCATTTTAATTTTTAAATTTTGAATTTAATCACAATAAATGGACTGTTGTTTCAGGTGTTACAAAAATTGGTTTTATATCAATTTTAAGCCATAATGAAACTATTCACTCCTTCAACCCTTATATAAACAGTGGTAGAGCAGACTTTTTAGAACAACTGAATACACACAAGAAAATTCTGGTTTTCCTCTCTCAAAATTTCTGCTTCTACTCCTTTCTTACTACTGTGTTCTAAGCTTTGCTCTAGTTCGCCAGGTTCATTGTTTGGGTGCTCAAACAATTGAATCGTAGTACGTTTTATCCTAAGAAACCTAAGCTACAACACTCATAGCACTTGTGGAAGGTAGCAAATAAAGTTTTAAAGAAATAGTTTTTTCGCTCGACTCGTACTAAACACCTTCTCTCGGTATCCTTTCGTGCTTGCCACTATATCCGATAATCCTTCTCAGTTTTTTTTTTTTCTATAAAATAAGATTATTATTGGGTTGTTTCACCAAATATCCAACGTCCAATCCGGCCTATCTTTGTCCTCGAATATTTTGTCTAATTAATAGACATGAGATTAAGCCAGTTAATAAAATAGTAAAATTGATCGAAGAATAAAGAAATCAATTATTGCTCCAAACACTTCAATCGCATTTATCCAAATTAAATAACCTTTCAAAAAACGTACAACTTGTTGGTTACACTATTATTTCAACTAAATCTAAAGCTCATCACCATGTCCACAACACCTTGTGGGTTACACTATATATTGCCAGCTGAATGCCAAAAGGGACAACTTATGACAGTGGTATATATTGTGCTAAATTAAACTTCAACCCGGCCGACAACATAACAACCTTAGCTTGCCCACAATGTCATTTGCACCAAATCACATTTAATCATTTCATTTAATAGCCATGATTAGGAGGAGCAATCATCAGATGGGAAATGCATTATGCACAATAATTGATACTGTAATCAATCAGTTCCCCAGTTTTAATTTGTAACATTCAAATTCTAGGTATAATAACAATACTATACAAGCAAACATACAAAAATGTTCCTAAGATAATGTTTTTGTTAGGACAAGCCAAATTTGTGTATAATTTCCCTTAGCTTTCTTCTTCCCCTACACAAAATCATTTAGATGAATGAACTTAATTGAGCTATAATTAATCATTCAGCTCCATCCCCCACCCACCTCCACCAAAAGATTAGATTAATTACACTTGCACGGTCTTAGTTCAATAGTTCAGTAGACAGTATTAAGAGAAGAAACCAAGATTAGTTCAAACCTCGACAGCCGCAATGTGGAGAACTGAGAATTATGATCAAAGTGGACAAAGCCCTTATACATACCAGCATTTAGTCATGTTGTCGAGTCATTGAGTTACCGTGATTTAATCTTCCTAAATACTTTGTCAGGCCGGAATATGGGTGGCCATTAGGTTGCGAATTTTGGGAGAAGATTAGATTAATTAAAGAAAAGTAGATTGGAAAGGCTGACAGAAGAAAAGAATCGTAACCGTCAACAAAAAACCCTGTAGAAGCCAACGTATGTAGCTTTCTGTCGGTGGATGCATCATGCATGCCGCTTCTACACCTTGCTATACGTACGCCTATATACCATTATATTACATGCTTCAATAATTAATTTTAAAATTTTACGTGGGCTCATGAAGTTTAAAATATAATGCGAACTGGAAAATATAATAAAAAAATAAGAGATAAGAGTTAAATAAGTCTTTCAAGTATATTCAAATGTGTAATTAAGTCCTTTAACTTCAAAAAATTTTAATTAAAATTTTAAATTTATAAAAAAGTACAATTATACTTTGTAGGTTACGGTTAGCGGGTTACCTTCACGTGGGGGGTAAATTATTTATTGATTAAAATTTTTAAGTTTATTTGGCGGGATGACGTGATATTCACATATTTTTAAAAATGATATATTATATTAAATTTTTGTTTTAATTATAACTAATTAATAAAAATAATACGGAGTAACAAATTTTAAAAATAATTTTTTTTAATATTTGTTTTTAGTTGTTCGCCGTCGACCACCACGGCTGAAAGTATTAAAATGAAAAATAAAATAAAATTTATTCATTGGTCAAACTAACTATTTCTTTTTTGGTTTTTTTTAGTATTTTTTATTTATTTTTTAATTTGATTTTTTTTGTGTGTTTAATAGTACTCTTAATATAGTTTTTAAATATATAATTTTTGTATACTAATACTAAACTTAATGTTATGAAAAATTGAATTAAAAATAAGTTCAGTCAAGTCTCATTAATCGAATCAGACACATAAAATGGGACGAAAGAAATAATATAGACTTCACTCTATGTGTCTATCAAGTGTGGTAGGATGAATCGAATTATTATTATTTTTAAATAAAATTGATCGTTATTACATTATGTGCTAGGAGTAAATTAAAATTGTAAAGATATAAAAATGTACTCCGTATAACTCATTTTACCGGTCATGTTTAATGTTCAGTAGTCAAATCAACTCTTCGTTCTTTTCTTTTCTTTTTTAGTATTTTTTAATTATTTTTAAATCTTTTTTAATGTTTAATAGTACGTTTGGTGTAAATTTTAAATATATATAAATATTATGTTTAATTCTAATTAATTAAATTAAATTATAAATAATTTTAATCATGACCCGTTAATCGAATGAAACACATAAAATGATAAAAAAAAAAAACAAGTAAATTGCAAATAATAATATGAAAATAAAATTTATTTTTTAAAATGAAAGAGTATTTGGAGATAAACAAAACCTAAATACGGAGTAATAATTTGAGCATATGGGTGACGTATATTTGTTCACAATCTTCCATACACGTGGCTCCAGCCACTGGCTTCTGCCAGCTGATATCACTTGTGCGCCACCCAAGCCTAGCCAGCAGCCACACTTTTCATCTCCATGTGCCTAATTCTATATTCAACAAATATTAATTTTGATCCCACGAGTATTAAGAAAATAATTATTTTAATACAGATATTTAATCATTATCATTTTTTTTTATTCATGATTATTATTTTCGTATTAAAATTGATCACAACGATCACCTCTCCAGCTAAATCAAGTCAATTTATAAGGATATTTTTGTTTATTCATATATAATATGCCGATTTCATTAATGTATGAACTCACATCCAAAATATGCTCTATTGTTGCAACAACTTCAATCTAGGAATAATATGATTAAATTAACAAAATATGCTAATCAAAATTTGTCTTTTTATTGTATTATTAAATTAATATTTTAAAAAAATGTCACTGGACAAAATTAATTGATTAACAATTCTTGATGATGACCACCGGAAATGAAACAATTTGATTACAGAATTTCACTATCGGAGTTTTCATGCGAGGCGGTGGCAGTAAGTCTAATTCAGATGAACAGACCCTCACCTGGATGTGGCGACGATAATGGAGTACAAAGGCCTGGGCATATTTTGAATGGGAATTCATACATTAATGGAATTGATATATATATTATACATGAATGGATGAAAGGTGCTCTTACAAATTACACAATCTGATATGTTTTAGCCGGAGAATTTTTCACCCATTGGTTTATGGATAATATTTTCCTGGAAAATTTCCTTAAATATGAGGAAAAAATCTCTTAACTCAACATTGGTTTAAAAAAAAAAAAAATCTATGGACATTGGAAATAATTTATCACTTGATAGGATAATTTTACCCCCACATAACTTTTTTAATTACCCTTAAACCAAATATGTATAATAATTTTTGGATAAATCGTCAAATAAACCATTGAACTATTAGTGTTTATACAATTGGGCTATCGAACAAAAAAAATGTGCAATCAAACCATTTGACTCTCCTTTCAAAAGAAAAAAAAAAATCATTTGACTGTATAATAAATTTGTGCATATAACATTTTTACTAATTTATTTTTTAGCATGTTACTTTAAGGTTAAGTAGGTAAGATGAATGACATGACATCTTATGTGATAATTTTTAATATTTAAATCAATTTACTATTACGTATGAGTTTAATATTCAACTCTATCCAAAGTACATGTCCAATCTTTTTCATCTCAACCTTTATATAGTACAGGCTCAAGTGCCAAATAGCACCATGAACCAATTGCGATATGTCATGCCGCACCCTGAACTTACATAAGTGATTATTCGATTCACAAACCAAAAAAAATTGTCCGCCTAGCCTTTTTTACAGGTTTCCCAGTTGCCTTGATGACATGGCACAGGTAATGTGTTGATGTGGAAATTTTTTTGTTTTAAGTCAGTCTTTGCTTGGTCAAATAAGCTTACTCAGATCATGAAGTTTAGTTTTTCAAGACTGTCGTCCAAGCTTTTATCTCCAAAACCACAGCAATTTTCCCCTTCTTCGTCAAAGCCTATCGTGGAATGGGTCGACTAACCTCTGCGATTGAAATCCCAGAAGAACGGCGCCGGAGCCACAGAGATAGCGGCCGCGACCGTGACCGTGGCCGTTACTCTCCGGAATCCGATTCTTATCGTCGTCGCAGCCGTAACCCTAGCCGAAGCCGGAGTCGCAGTCTCAGCGGCAGTAGGAGTCGTAGCCGTAGTCCAGACTACTCAAGGTATGAGCCTTCCTCTCATAGCCCACCTAGGGGTGAGAACGAGCCAGAGGACGTTGATCAAGACTTTATTGACTAAAGGCAGAACAACGATTTGAAGGAAAAAGAGAATGAGAAAAAGGAAAGCTCGAAGTTGGAGTCTAAGAGGTCGAGTGATGATTCATCGGAGAGTGAATCTGTTTCTGAATCTGAATCGGATGGTTCACGATACAGGAAGTCTAAGAAGAGCAGGAAATCTGGTTCTAGACGTAGAAGCAAGAGATCAAGATCAGTGTCTGAAAGTGAGAGTGAATCCGCTGATTCAAGTGATGATTCAGAAGCTGAAGCTAGGAGGAGGAGATTGAAGAGAAGGCGGCACCAAAGGAGTAGTCTGAAGAAGAAAAGTAGAAGTAGAATGATGAGTGATGAGAGTGAAACAGAGTCTTCTGAAGCCAGTGAATCATCAGAAGATCATGTCAAGTCAAAGAAGAGGAGGTCTTCTTCCTCAAGGTATAGGTGGAGCAACAAAAGGAGTGGGAGATTGCTCTGAAAAGTCGCGAAAGATCATTGCTGGCCTGGAGTCTCTTGATCGCCGATTTCGATAGATTATAGCCTTGTGACGAAGATCGGCCATGGAAGAGTATAACAGAGGTTACTTTATATTATTTAATATAAATGGTGAAAGGGCTGCCAACTAAATACCTCCACATCAGCAAGAAAGAAAAAAAGAAAATAAAAAACCTCCACATCATCAAGTTATAACTTGTTACTTGGAGGCAACCTGCTAAAAAAGCTAGGTGGACAAAATTTTTTAGTTTGTGAATCGAATAATCACTTATGTAAGTTCAGGGTGCGGCATGACATATCGCAATTGGTTCATGGTGCGATTTGACACTTGAGCCTATAGTACAACCGTAACAACTTGCAATCATATCGTGTATTGAGCATCGGTCGAGTTAGCCAAGTTCAGCCCTACATGGTGTCCCTGATTCGGACCATCAGACTGCCAAATTTCAGCTCAAAGCTTTCTGGCATTTTCATGGTGACTATCAGACTATCCGCGCATGCATGTTGTGTTAATTATCTTTATGGTAGAAGTAACGAAACAGTCGACAGGCATCAAGATGCTGTGTATAGCTTTTACCCTTTTGGGACAAAATTTTGCCTAATACAGTATTTAGGAAGTAGTATCCTTTTTGTCAAGTATTATACAGTAGGAAACAAATTATGGTATTGTTATTAATAAATGTCATTGGAGAAGTATTTTTTTTTTTTTTTAATAAAGGAGAAAAGAAACATATATGATCTTAATAGTAATTTCTCATCCATGGGATGATTCTGTTAGATAATAAATTGACTAACATAAACTGTAGTAATGAGGAACCTGTCTTCGTATAGCGGAAGCTTCAGGATCATCCGAATATCCCTTGCCATAGTTGTTGTTATTGTCGTGGGATGGTAAACCTGCAGATAAACATTAGTGTTTTGTCTACCACTTCTCTCCTGAATAACTGATGGTGTGTGTATTCTGAACACGGGAGCTGTGGGAGGACTGTTTTGCTTAGAAGCCTACATGCCATCAACGTAGACAAACATTCATCTAAGGCTTAACAAATTAAGTCACTAATTGACTCAATCTCCTAGTTGCACTACAGCCACCCAATAATACAATATATTATACGAGTAATATATTATATTTAGGGAAAATACTTACAGATTCATTCTTCTTTCTCTTATTAAGCTCCACGTAGAGAAAGGGAGATCTCCATCCCCAAATCAATTTTAATCCTAAATAAATAAATATTTGACTATAGTTTTTTTTTTTAAATAGCTTTTTTAGTTGGATTTTGGTGCATAGCCCTTAGAGAAGCAGTAGAGAAGTACCAGAGAAGCATCAGTAATGAGAAATTATCATTAGAATCCCATTTTTAATAGTCAACTAACATAATTTTTAACAAAGAACTAAATTGTGTAAAACCATCAAAGTCGATGACTAAATTGAGCATAAAAAGTCATTTATGACTAAATTAAGTAAAACCACTATAGTCGATGACTATATTGGTATTAACTCAAAAAAAATCACACTAGGGAAACAAGGGAGACACTCCTCGGAAATACCGGAAACAAGGGATAATTTGATATTCAGGTTCGTTTACTAACGAGAAATTGTTCTCTATTTTCTGTTTTTTAATTTTTTTAGTTTTCATTCTCTGCTTTTCATTCTCTATTTTCTGTTTAGAAAACTTGTTTACTAACACATATTTTATCATTTTTTTTAAAGATTAGTGTTATAAAATTAACACAAGTTTAATTTTGAGTTATTTCTAGATCTTATATTTAAAATATTTGTACATATGTTTGGTTTAAATGAAATATTTTTTTTTTTTTTTTTTTACTTTTAAGTCTAATATATGTAATATTTTTACATTTGATAACATAATAACTAAATATATATCCGAACCAATAACCTACTAAGTTCACCTAAAGTTTAGTTTAGATAATATTAATATTTTTGAGCTAATATTTAAAATATTTTAATATATTCATTTGAATGACATGTATATAAATATGTGAGATAACATAACTAAATATATCTGAACTAATATAATCCATCTATTGACAGGGCGTTTGGTTGGAGGGATTTTAAATTCCCTTCCCACTTAATTCCCACCTAATTCCAAAGGCCATTAAATTCCGTAGTTTGGTTGGAGGGAATTACAATTCCCCCTTTTTCATGGAATTAAAATCCCATGTCCCTCCCTGTTATTTTAATTCCTGGGAAAAAAAGATTGTGATGAGTCAAAATTATCCCTTCCTTTTTTAACCTAAAATTAATGTCTAACAACAATAATGGACATTTTTGACTTTATACTACTTATTCCCTTTCAATTCCCATGTATACCAAACATTGGAATTGAAATTCCCAGTAATTCTATTCCTGTTAACCAAACACTGAAATTTAAATTCACACTTTATTCCCAGTAATTCAACTCCCATGGAATTACAATTCCTTTCCCACATAATTCCCCCCTTCCAACCAAACGCCGTGTGAGTTGAATCAAAATCTAAAACATTGTATAGAGTTCAATTCTTAATTTTGATAATGTGAATAATATCTAACTTTAAAGTGTAAGCAAATAAGTTATGTTTAAATAAGTAAAGTAAGTAGAACAAATATAAGATGGTGATAAGTAAAAGAAGATGATAATGAATTTAATGATAATAATGTGGTTATAGTGGCATATAACCAAATAGATGATAGATGGTTTTATTTTTCATTTAGAAAACAATTTTTAAGAGCGTTTCAGTTTTCTAAAAAATTGGAAAATTATTATCAGTTTTCAAAAATGGAAATGGGCTAGTAAACATGTTTTCTGTTTTATGTTCTCCAATTATCTAGTTTTTCAAAAAATTGAAGAAAATTTCCATTTAGTAAACAAGCTCGGAAACGTTCTCAAAAATTCTATTTTTACTAGGAGTCATCAACTAACTTAGAATAGACAAACTAACTAGTCCGGACCACACCTGCTTAGCGAGGAGGATCTCATGAATATTCTTTTCACTTTGTAGGATGTTGAAATGCTAGGTGGTTGGCTAACGTGCTAGGTGGATGATAAAGTGCTTTATGGGTGACCCTTGGTCTTAGTGCTAAATATTGCGCTTATGGTTGTACTTTTTTTCCTTAGATAAGTTTCTTTTACTGTTTTTTTTCTTTATTTTAAGGTTTTTAACGAGAGCCCCTATACTCAGCTTTGACTTGTGGGTCGGTGGGGGGGGGGGGGGGGGTGAGGAGGGGCTCACCATGGGCTGCTCGGTTTAACAGATGCGTCCAAAAGGATCGCTAACCGAACGGTGATGCCCATCCAAAAGATGCCTTGACAATTAGTAACCGGTCGGAAGAAGACTTGATTTTTAGAAGGAGAGAAATGGTTAGAAAATATTTTTGATATTTTCCTAAGATATCGACTTTGCGAAATCTCAAGAAAGTGGGGGACTAGATGATGAATTGTATAACGGGCATGGGTCACATGGCCCTGCCCAATAAAGTAACTATATCAAGAAAATCCAAGAAGCAATAAGCAACTTGGGCATATTGATAGTATAATAAGGATTGTGCTTATTATTCATAATGTAATAAGGATTGTACTTAGTAATAAGGATTAGGACTTATTATTTCTAATGTAACAATGACTCTCAATATGAGACAATCTAGGATTCTTATTCCTAATAGAACTTTAGGCCCAAAATATGTGTAATAGACTCCATACATATGGAGAAAGAAAAGTAAAATTTTCATTATTTAAAAGCAATTCTCAATAATAGAAAATATTTATTCTCTCCAAATTCTCTATATTTTTTTTTCGTATAATCATTATTTTAACAGTGATGTTGGTTAGTCGTTGACTGCCCAGAAGTCATAAAACTAACAATTTGTATTCTTTTATATTATATTTCATACTTTTGAAAATTTTAGTTAAAAATGTGAAATTAGTATTAGCATTTTCATTTCTTTGGACAGGCGCAATAGCAATGTCCTCCCAACATAGATAACTCAATTAATTCATGAGTGATAAATTGTGGATAACGATATATGATGGAGTATGGGCAATCATGTAGTATGAGAGTTACATTTAATATAGTAGGCTCCTTGTAAACACCCTCCCACCCAATAAACTACTAACTAACCGTGGTTTATTCATTCACTGAGAGTTACATTTAATATAGTAGGCTCCTTGTAAACACCCTCCCACTCAATAAACTGCCAACTCACCGTGGTTTTTTCCTTCACTGTTTTGTTGAACTGGGGTGTGGGGTTAGAGAATTTTGCCATTTATAGGCTGTTTAGTTGGATATAGTTGTAATTCAATTACAACATAGAATTGTAGAATTTGAAATCTTGGACCATCATAGAATTGTAATTCGAAGTAGTGGGGAAAGGGAACAAAAACTACTAAAAATGACCCTTTTACCCTTGATAATGATTATTATTATTACACAAGCACATTTTAATTGTTATATTACTTTTTCAGTCTAATTCTCAATAATTCTATTCCTCATTACCAAATAATGTAATTTAAATTCTTACTTTATTTTCATATTATTATTTCACCACCAAATTACAATTCTAACCAAACACTTTGTTAATGGGCAGGTCCGGGACAGCAATGCGGCAAATCCGGCAATGCCTCACATAGTGTCATTTCCGTAATATATTCTATAATCGAGGCTAAATTTCAACGCGAACTCTACATCTACATCTACCTCTACATAGCCTTGCACCACTCTGCGAGTCGCAGTCTCAGCCCCTCCACCGGTATTGGAACCCCTGTCCCGTCTTCTTTCCACACCCACAGCTAAAATGCAGCTTTTCCCGCCGCCGGCAGCCGCGGCCGCGGTGTTCCTCTCTCTGGCGCTGTTGCTCCTGCCGTCGGCCACGGAGGCTTACAACATTACCGCCATTCTGGCCAAGTACAAGGAGTTCTCTACCTTCAACCACTACTTATCACTCACCCACCTCGCCGCCGACATCAACAGCCGCGACACAATCACTGTCTGCGCCGTCGATGACGCCGCCATGGCAGATCTGCTCGCCAAGCACCACTCAATCTACACCATTAAGAATGTCCTCTCCCTCCATGTGCTCCTGGACTACTACGGCGCGAAGAAGCTCCACCAGCTCACCAATGGCACTGCGCTCGCCGCCACTATGTTCCAAGCCACTGGCTCCGCTCCCGGCGCCGCCGGATTCGTCAATATCACAGATCTGAAAGGCGGAAAGGTCGGATTCGGCCCTCAGGGCGACGGAGGAGCACTCCCCGCAACTTTCGTCAAGGCCGTTGAGGAGATTCCTTACAACATTTCCATCATTCATATCAGTAGTGTGCTGCCGTCGGCGGCGGCTGAAGCGCCGGCTCCCGAGCCGAGCAAGGCGAACATCACTAAGCTAATGTCGGCTCACGGCTGCAAATTGTTCGCCGATACGCTCTTGGGCTCCCCTGCTGAGAAGACATTTGAGGACAACATTGACGGCGGATTAACGATCTTCTGCCCCGGTGACGGCGCAATGAAGAGTTTCATGCCTAAATTCAAAAATTTAACCAAGGACCAGAAGGAATCTCTGTTAGAGTATCACGGCGTCCCCGTGTACCAACCGCTCAACTCACTTAGGTCAAATAATGGCGATATGAACACCCTGGCCACCGACGGAGCCGACAATTTCCAGATCACGGTTCAAAACGACGGCCAGGATGTGACGCTGAAGACGAAGATCGACAAGGCGACGGTCACCGGCACCTTATCGGATCAGCAACCGCTCGTCATTTTAACGGTGGATAAGGTCTTAATGCCGAAGGAGCTCTTCAAGCCAGCCGCCGTCCCAACGCCTGCTCCGGCACCGGCGCCGGAAGCAGACGACGCAGATTCTCCCGAGCCTGCTGGTAAGAAGCACAAGTCACATAAATCCAAGGCGGCGGACTCTCCGGCCGATTCTCCGGACGGAGATGTCGCTGATCAGAAAGCGGATGATAACGGCGCAGTTGGTTTCACCGGTGGAAGATTTATTACCCTGGGGTTGAGTCTGTGGTTTGCATTTTTACTGCTGTAATTTTTTTTCTTTACTCTTTTTTTTTTTTTCTTTTTAATTACTGAGTATCTATTTAGAGAGTTCAAATATTCAAAAAATGCAAAATAAGTGTGGCCTATACGGCAAAATTGTAATCTTAGGATAGGTAGCTTGTCTTCATGCTTTTTGTGTGTTGCTTTTGCTTTTTTCTACTGTTTTTTTTTTCTTTCTTTTTTAAATTTTGTGTATTAAATATTTATTTGATTTGACTTTTGTAATTGTAAAAGGGGTTTGTTGGTTTGTGATTCACATGAAGCAGTTCATATGCATTGCTACTAGCCATTTCTATTGGTAAACAACTTACATTGAAGTTTCAAATTCAAAAAAATTTAAATTTTATAAGCATTTTCATGTAAAATAATAATCTATACTATATATAAAAAAAATTCTGAAATTTTAACTTCCCGCCTAATTCTTAAAAAATCTCTTTTCCTATAAAATATATTGATTTCTATTTTCCCATTCGTACAATAATTCTGCGTTAAAATTCTATTCTAATATTATAAAATTGTGTAATACAATCTATACTATCTATACTATATATAAAAACAAAATCCTGAAATTTTAACTTCCCGCCCAATTCCTAAAAAATCTCTCTTCCTATAAAATATATTGATTTCTACTTTCTCATTCGTACAATAATTCTGCGTTAAAATTTTATTCTAATATTATAAAATAGTGTAATACAATCTATCTATACTATATATAAAAACAAAATCCTGAAATTTTAACTTCCCGCCCAACTCCTAAAAAATCTCTCTTCCTATAAAATATATTGATTTCTACTTTCCCATTCGTACAATAATTCTGCGTTAAAATTCTATTCTTCCAAAGGCTGAACCCCAACCCTAAGGGCCCCCACACCCCGGTTAAAATTCTATTCTAATATTATAAAATAGTGTAATACAATCTATACTATACATAAAAATAAAATCCTGAAATTTTAACTTCCCGCCCAATTCCTAAAAAATCTCTCTTCTTATAAAATATATTGATTTCTACTTTCCCATTCGTACAAAAAAATTTTACGTTAAAATTCTATTCTAATATTATAAAATAGTGTAATACAATCTATACTATATATAAAAACAAAATCCTGAAATTTTAACTTTCCGCCCAATTCCTAAAAAATCTCTCTTCCTAATAAAATATATTGATTTCTACAATAATTCTGGGTTAAAATTTTATTGTAATATTATAAAATTGTGTAATACTATTCATATTCTAATCTATATCTATTTTATATATCAGTGTTGCAAAAATTGTGTAGCTGGCCGCGGCGAGGAAGGCCGGAATCGGCCTCCTCAGCGGCCGCCTCGCCGGCTGAACCGGCCTTTAATTTTTTTATTATTATTTTTAAGTTGTAAAGTGTCAAAAGTTCGGCACAGCATAACTTTTGACTCCGTTGTCCGTTTTGGACAAATATTTTTTTGAAATCACGTTTTTTTTTTTAGATCTATCCACCGCAAACTGCCGTAGGCGGTTTGGCCCACCAATTTCTAAAAAAAAAAAAAAAAAAACTTTATTAAAGAGTTTCTAAGAAAAAACTATGAGAACCTTATGTTTTATTAATGAATTTTTAAAATTTTTAATTAAACAATTGTCCCGTGCATTATTTAATAATCTTTCTTTATAATTGGTCAAATTATTTAATTATGGTAAATTTGGGAATAATTAATGATGGTAATAGAAATCTTAGAAGAATATAGAATTGAACAATATTTAATTATTGTTATATTATTATATTGACTCACGGAATACAAGAGTTAATGCCATTTTTGGTCCTAGACTTATTGGGGCATTGACACTTTTCATCCTCCATAATAAAAATTGCCACTTAGTAGCCACTGTTATTGATCGTTGGACAGTTTTGATCCTCTGTCAATGACGCCGTTTGTTCACCGTGAATTAGAAGGGTTTTTCTGTCTTTTTATGTTCTAATCCTTGTATTTCTCCATCCATTGGTCACTGCTACATCCATTTCTTCAAATTGAGGTTATCCGCTTCAGTCCTTTCTAACATTAAGAAACCATCTTCACCCAACTAACAATCACGAATTTTACATTTGACATCAATCTCAAGATGATGGAAACAAGTGCAGTTGGAATAGAAAGGGCGTTAGTCCATGCCTGTGGAAATTTTGTCGAGCATACAACATAACAAGCAAAGTCAGGAATATCACCCAACCCCTCCCTTAACCTTTCTGCATCAACTATAATAGGTATGCCCCTACTCTTTGCCTCCTGCACTACAATCAAAGCAGTCTCATGCAGCATTCCATCTAAGTAGACAATATTTACTCCAAGCGCTGAAGACAATTTTGATTTGGGTATGTAGACCCTCAGATATCATGGGTGGATATCCTGGAGTGAAAATGCACGTGCGAATTTTTTTTTTTTTTTTTTGGTTGTCAACAATGGCATATGTGAATGGTGAGTTTCCTCCTTTGGACACCACCATAAAAGATGTATCAACACCATCCCTTTCAAGCTCATCAAGTATTCTTTCGCCATGCGAGTCATCAGCAACCTTAGATATGATCTTTGGATTAAGACCAAGACGAATTTTATCATCCGGGTTTTATCAAAGCATTGCCAGTGTTACCACCTCCTTGAACCTCAAAGCTGGTGCTCCGAATTTTATCATCCGGGTTGGGGAATGAAGCTACAGCAGCCAGGAAGTCAACACCGGCCATTCCAACACCTCAGACAATGCGATTTTTGGGGAGCGGCGGATTCCACATTTTCAGCTTGAAACTTCAATGAATTTCAGGTATAATAACAGAGTTTTTTGAGGTTGTGCACCAAGTAGTTGTGGTAAGAGAGAGAGAGAGATGGGAAGGATATTTGTGGTCAATATGGAAGGGAGGACTTACAGGTGCAAATTCTACATCACGCCATCTACAACTACAACTGCTATTTACCATAGGAGGGTTCGCCGATCTGCTGCCCTCTTTGCTTCGCCGGAACCAAAAATCACCGGTGAAGGCCCCAACCTCGCCGGATCTGTTGCTGCACCGCCAGATCTGCCTTACTGGTCCGTCGCCGGAAGGAGTTACTGCCTCGTATACTCGCCGCCGTACCCACAACTCGCCGGAGAAGAACCTCGTTGCTACTCACTACCGACGGTTACTACTTAGCCGCCAAGTCTCGCCATCTCGCCTCACAGGAGTCACAGCAGCGCTGGTCTAAACAAGATTAGAAGAATAAGACATAAAAAGACAGAAAAGCCCTTCTAATTCACGGTCAACAAACGGCTTCATTGACGGAGGATCAAAACTGTCCAACGACCAATAACAGTGTCTACTAAGTGACAATTTTTATTATGGAGGATGAAAAGTGTCAATGCCTCAATAAGTCTAGGACCAAAAATGGCATTAACTCCGGAATACAATACAAGAATATTTAATTATGGTTATATTATTATTGTGCCTCACGACCATTATATACTAACAGTACTTGAAAAGAAACTAATAATAATAATAATATAATAATACTAATAATAATATAAGTGGTAATAATAATATCTAAAAGTAATTAAGTGTTAATAATAATAGTAAGAATATTAACGTAAGAGTTGTAACATAGAATAAATTGTAATAATTAATAACTATAGTCTAGGATTAAATTTGGAATTGTCAGGAAAGATAAACGACCTCTGGTGAAATTAACTCTTAAATAATTATATATCGATTTAAATATTCTTAATATATTACAACAATTCCATTCCGTGCATCGCACGGGTGAAAATACTAGTAAGAGAATAAAAGGAAAATAAACACACTTAAACATAACCAAATAATGTAATTAGCATTTTTAATCAGATGCCTTCAAGTTTTCGCTGATGTGATGATTTATATCAATGTCATGTGTGTAAAATTATTCTTCATCTCCATAAGTTTCTTTCCTTCCTCGAAGTTGTTGTCGATTCTTCTTCATTATTGGCAATTTGAAAAAAAAAATTAAAAAAAAAAAATAAAAGGGAGGATTCTTTGTTTATAATGTAGAGATGAAGAGTTCTTATGAAAAAAGAAAAAAAAAAAAAAAGGAAGATTATATCATATTTTTCTCTCATCATAAAATTGTTTTTTTTTGTTGCATTTTTTTTTAAAAAAAAATCATGGTAATGCCATGTAAGATGACAACTAATCAATTATCTATTTTATCTTGAAGATAATTGGCTAAAAATATTAATTGCATTTTGTCAAATTTAGGTGTGCTTATGGACATTTTTCAAGTTCAATGACTTAATTGCTATTTTATTAAAGTAGTATTTTTTTTTTTAAAGCAATTATATTCCTAATAAAATGTAGTGTCACTTTCTAGTTATAGTAATATTGATCTCACTATGATAAATTTTATGGGTTTTAAGTATTTCACACACTTATAAGTTAGGAAAAAGTGTCAAATAAACTATTGAATTTATTATTTTTGTGTAATTGTGTCATTGAACTTAAAACATGTGTAATTGAACCATCAAACAAGAAAAATATATGCAATTGAGATTTTTTTTCAATTTTCTCAAAAGAATATAATCACATTGCTTATATAGAATGCAACTAAGAATTGTCATTTCCTCTCCCATGCTAGTTTGGAGGAAAAAATTGAAATATTACTTGTTCCTATAAATTACCATTGTATGTTGTTAATATGATATTTTCCTTTAAGGACTAGGCATCATGAAGTTTGTCATATCAACATTTCAAGGTACAACTATTCTACTCTTCTTTACAATACGTTTTAAAATCATAATACTTTCAATAAGTCATAGCAAATAATACCACTAAACACAGTAGTTTGAACAATTAGTAAGTGAACTATTAATACAACTATAAGGTCAGATGTTTAGTTCTTATTAAACTTTGCACAAACATTTAAAATTTAATTGTTTTGATATAATTGACATTTAGTATTTTCCAATAAACCTATTAATATTAGCAACAAAAAAAAAAAGTGAATTTTTTAAAATGTCACATACGAAAAATAAATTAAAATAGCGTATTATTTTATAATTGAGAAAATTGTCAAATAGGCTACTAAACTTTATCCTAAAAGTCAATTCAGCCCCTAAACTTTAAAGAAGTGCAATTAGATCATCAAACATGTCAAATTGGGTCAATGAATCCCAAAAACCGATAAAATGACCTATTATTTCAAGTCATTTCAATTTCGGCGACCAGCGAAAAATTCCAGCGATCGGCGACGGCAAAAAATTAAAGTCGTCGCCGGTCATCACCTTCTATCGTAGAGTTGGTCGCCTTCACCAATAAAAGGTGACCGG